CAATTGATAATCAGTCACCATTTTCAGTCACAAAAAACCCATTTTCTTGTAGTGATATGTTTTTAATTAATTAATATTAACAATTTAAATATTAATTTTAAATTAATTAATTAATTAATATTCATTTATATGCTAGTGATGTTAAAATAAAAATTTATTTTTATAATTTTTTATGTAAATTAATTATAAACAATATATTTATTAAAATTTTAAGTGTATATATTCGGTCAACCTTTAAAAAATATAATAATTTTTAGAAAAATAAAAAGAAGAGTGACATCAAACGAAATTAAGAATTTGGTAGAGAATAGAGTGCGTTTATTTCTAATTCTAGGCCTACTCTTTATACTTATTTGACAATTGTATCCTCATAATTTTAACAATTGACTTTTTCCACACTTCACTTCCTCTTTATTGACTTCAAGCCCTCTGCTTCACTGGTTCACTACACGGTCAAATTATGTACGTCAAGTTTAAATTATATAATAATGAATATCAAAATGATTATATAATATCGTAAAATAACCAAATTAATTATTAAAATAATACCATAAATATCCTAACACAATAATTTGTGTAATATTTTTTAAAACACTAAAAATATAAAAATTTTACTTTCAATTACGGGTAAAAATTTTTTAATTTTGAGTTACATTAATATTATTTCACTTCAATCAAATAATTTGAAAATGATCAAGTTTTTCTTACACCTAACCGAATTGTGTTCTACTCGACCAAAACCTAGTTCCGCCACTGCTTATGGTGCACTTAAAGTAACATTAGTTCCATCCATATTCTTATTCTTGCTTCAATATCTACATACCATGCTGCTGGAAATTAAAGTAGCCAATTTGGTAGATTTAATATCTTTTCCACTGCAAAATTGAATAAAGTTAAAATCGGGAATATAACTCTATCAACCAACGTTTTACATTTGAAAATGAAAGTAAAAACCTTATACTATATTATCTTATTATACACTACTCTTTTTATTTCAAAATAACTATTTATTTTTTACTTTTTCTCTAAATTAAGAATTTAGAAACAAACTATGTATTTACTAATATTACTGTAAAAAAAAGCTAGAGAGACTTTTTGTAATAGGACAATTAATCAAAATAAATGAATAATGATATATTAAAGTAATAAAAATATTTATTTACCTTAATAAAATGAAAAAATGATAATTAATTTAAAACAAACTCAAAATATAAAAAGAGAAAAATAATTAATACACGTTTGATTCAACACATTTTCTGATACTTATTTTGGTTTCAACTAGTTCCTACGTCTTTTATGCATGCATGGTTATATATTTAAATTTATCTATCTTTAATTTTATACTAAAAAATAATGATTTTTTAATGAGTATATTGTGTAATGTGTTATAAAAAAAGAGCAGTCATTTTGGGACTAGAGGAGTATAAAAATGGTTAAAATCTTTACTCTCTCCATTCATTTTTAATAGATATAATTTGACTTTTTGACTTTTCAAATTTAAATTTTATATGTAAATTTAACAACATGTATAAATAACAATTGAAAAAAAAATTTATCAAATTTTTGTCAATTATTTTTATTTGATTAAAAAACTTTTCATTTACCATTTATATAATATATTAAATTTTCATTTAAAATTCATATTTAAAAAGTTAAAAAATCAAATCAAGTTTACTAAAAATAATAAAAGGAGTAATAAAATTTAAATAAATACTTAATGTGTTTTTTAAAATCTATCAAAAATCTTAAATAAATGTCCAATAAACCTTTTAAAAACCCTCTAAAATCTCAAATAAATATAGTTGCTAATTTGGTAGTTTTTATGTCTTTTCCACTGCAAAATTGAATAAAGTTAAAGTAGCTAGTTTTTCAAAATTGAATAACGTTAAGGTCAGGAACATATATAATTCTAACAACCAACGTATTAAGTATGGAAAAGAAAGTAAAATCATTATCTCATCTTCCCATCAATACTAAGTACTTTTTAAATTTTATTGGCGTTAAGATCTAAAAGTAAAAAATAATTAAAATTTTATTAGTATTTAGATAACTCTTCTATTTATTAGTTAATTTTTT